CTTCTCCTTCTCTCTCTCTCTCTCTCTCTCTCTCTCTCTCTCTCTCTCTCTCTCTCTCATTGTCTTCATGATAAATACAGAGGTGACCTCTGGTATCTGAGACCCATGTATCTCTCAGAGCCTGGTGTTTTATTTCCTGGGCCTTCAGAAAGCCTGTGGGTGCCTGTAGCTTAGTTTCGTTTTCCTATGAAGATGCTCAGATCAGAGGAAGTACCCAGCATGACTGTGTTCCAAGAATGTGAGTCTAATTTACCTCCTTCCATGTGTTCATTATAAAGCCTTCCTAATGTGCCTTTCTCCTAGATCATGTGAAACTTTACAAGTGTTACCAAATATCAGGCAGTCCACAGTGAGTGAATGACGGATGTGGTGTGCTCCTGATGCTTGAGCAATGTGCCTCCCCTGTTCAGTGTGGTATGTGTGGCTTCATACCTTGTGATGGCTTCACACATGAGTGTCAACTCTTCCATGGCCCAGCGAGTTAGAATGTATGAAGCCATGGAGAGAGTAGGGCAGGAGCAGAAGAGAACCTGTATTCTGTATAAAGTCAAAGCCCGGGAATGAAAGACAGCAACGAGGAAATGCTGGATGTTGTTTCGACCAAAGCATGTGGCCTTTTGAGGTGCTGTTTTGTGATGGAGAGCAGGCAACTGGAAATAAGACACTCTGGTCCTAAATATAACTACATTGCATTGCCTAAACAAGTAGGCTTTTCTAGAGGAAAACAAAACAAACGTGCACCTGTAGACATACGCTTCTATCTATAGCCACCTCCACAACCATATCTATTAACTATGGATATAGTCACCATCTTGCTATCAACTAAAACTATCATTCATCTATCCATCTTCTCATCCCCTTCTCTCTTCCTTTAGGCTGTTCAAAAATTCATCTGGATCTCGGCTGTCTCAACATAAAAGTATGATTGTCCTATCTTTTGTTTAAGTACATTCAGCTATGAGCCCAGCCAGTAAATTTTGACCAGCAATGGCACCTCTGGGACCTCGAGTCTTTAACTTCTAGTGGTAAAGTCCTTAGATTCTCTTCCCATTTTCCATGGCCAGCAACAGTCATGGTGGTAGCTATTCTGTCAGCTGGACTGATGGATTGCAGTGTGCAGAACATCCTTGTGGCCTGAGTGGATTTTTTACCTCAGCAAAAATGAATACCTCTATTCTTTTTAGGTAAATAAGAATTCAGCTTGTAGCATAAGCAAACCTCTAACACTGCATGTGTCATATTCACGCTGAAAAGCAACCCTTGCTTATGTATAACATCATAAATAGATTTCTTATCTAAGATAGTTGGGTATTTAAAAATCTTACCTGCAGAACTGAATTATTTTTACTTGTGAGTTTCACCATGGATAGCCTGTGTGCCTTGAAGCAAGCTACATCATTTTCTACATCACAGCTCTAAAATACCCACTCTAACTATTGCTGCAAAGGGTAAAGTATCTATGGCATGGTAGAAGTCTGTTTTGTGGTAGGCATGGTAATGTACATCTTCAGTACTTGCATTCAGGAGGAGAATGATCTGAATTTAAGGCTAGCCTGGTCTACATAGTGAGTTCCAGGCCACTTGTAGTATATGAAATTCAAAGTACACCAGGACTGTGAAGTCACATCAACAAGAGCTTCAGGGAGTTGGCCTTGTTGCTTCAGAGTCAAGAATCAGAGAGGGACACATGCATGCATGCTAGCGGTTAGTTTACATCCTCCACTGATACAGTTCAGGATCCAATGCCCAGGAAATGCATGGGTCTTCCCTTATCAATACACATAGTCAAGATGTCCCCTGTAGACATACCTAGAGGGATACCCTTCACCAACATGATGCTGAGTCTCTGTCAAGGTGACAGCACCAGTAGCCAGATACATTCTGCTTCTTGTAGTCATGTCAAGATGTTTTATTATTACGTATTTCATTTCATGATTGAATTAGTTTGCTTTAACTCGAGGCTCCAAACTCATAGACCATCTCATCCATCCAAGTGGGTTCACAGCTTACCTGATGTTGTCTGAGCGAGACACACAAGGAGGAGGAAGAGAAGAAATAGCAGCCTCATGGTGATAAATGAGTTCTTGGGAGGAAGGGAGGAAGCAGCAGTATCTGAGGGCAACTCCTTCAGTGCACACGGATGGCAGCAGGTGATCTAGGAGAGTTGGAATGATTCAGATAGAAGGAAAGCTTGTATTATTACTGCAGATGCTCAACTAGTGCCCCGACCCATGGGGTCTTCGACAGGGTACCCTGAGAGAAAAGGGGGGAGAATAGAAGGGACAGGAGACGCAAAGAATGAGACCAAGTCAAATTTTCTGATCAAGGTCCGTCGAGCTGTATTTTTTTCAGGCAATTTATACAGGCAGGAAAGGGGATAACGTGTTTGGGGGAATTTCACAGAAGCTGGGAGTTCTGCCACATGGATGTCTTGCAGCCTCAATGTTTTTGTCTGGCTCAGGGCACAGCAACCACTTTCCTTAGGGCACAACGACCACTGGTCACCTGCTTACTCAGGAGTCGATAGCTGAGGAAAAACAAAACCTAAAACTATTCTTTCAAAATGTAGTCAAGTTGGCTCCTGGCAAACTAGGACTAAGGTGGGACCAGGGATGCCTTACCTATGAACACATGGGTACAGACCCAAGCTGCCCCTGTCAAAGACAGGACCATTTAGCTGAACATGGTAGGGCACACTTGTAATTCCAATCCTTAAGAAGTAAAAGGCAGAGGAATTGTGAGTTGAAGCCAGTCTGGTAGCAGAACAGCATGGGTTACATGGTGAAAATATGTCTCAAAAAATAAATAAAACACACACACACACCTACATAGGCTTTATAGTAAGTCAGGATTCTCCAATGATTTTCATTTCTACTTGTGATTCAAAGGATTTGTATTTGTTTTATTTTGTTTGTTGACACAAGGTCTCTCCGTGTGGTCCTGGCTGACCTCAAACTTGCTGTGTAGACCAAACTGGCCTTGAACTCTGCTTCTATCTGTAGGTACTTAGATACTAGGGGCAACAACCCCCACCCCCGAATTTCAGAAGCTAAGAATGAGAAGAAATTTTGTAAATGGAAACTCCCTTCTTTCTTTTACCAGTTTCAGTATTTTGTGCTAACCAATTGAGAAAAAGCTCAAGCTGGCTGGTTCTTGCAGAGCTGGTGAGATACAAAGGGCCAGAAGATGACATAATACTGATGTCATATCAAAGCCATCAGCTCTCAGCTGAATAAATGGATGGGCAGATGGAAGAAGGCAGAGTGGAGGTAAAGAAGTGTTATAGGCTTCATGTTTGTGTCCCCTGAAAAGCTCTATGTTGAGATATCCCTGTGAGGAATGGGGTGAGAGCCAGTATAGTGATGAGGGCTCTCATTAGAGAGATCTGAGTCCTTACAAAACACATCTGCCCACACTCTTGCCATAGGATTCTCACCTCAATGGCTACTAGAAATGAAGTTTGTTTGTTTGTTTGTTTGTGTGTGTGTGTTTATGTGTTTGTGTGAGTTGTGTGTGTGTCTGTGTAGACTGTGTGTATGTACGTGTTTGTAGGGGTGGTGTGTGTGTGTGTTTTGTGGTTGTGTGCATGTGTTTGTGGGGGGATTGTGTGTATGCCTGTGTGTGTGTGTGTGTGTGTGTGTGTGTGTGTGTGTGTGTGTGTGTCTGTGTGTGTGCCTGTGTTCGTTTGGGTTGCGTGTGAATGTGTATGCCCATGCACAAGCACACTCAGACACACGCTGCCAGGTTTGTTGGCGTTTTTATAACATCTTGAAGGACCCAAAACAGAAAGAAGTCATAGAAACAATGACATGTAAAGACGAGGGTAAGAGCCCATAAAGGAATTCAGAGACTCAGACATCCCTGCTCACTCACTAGTGGCTGCCCTCCACTGATGAGAGCCCTGTAGAGGGGACAAGGGTAAATGGTGCTTAAGACACAGACATCAAATAAATCTCTCCACCTCTGAAGTAGGCCCTGGTCTTTAGCAGATGGAGAGAAAGGAATCTTACTGGTTAAGAGCTATGTAGTTAGATCAGCCTGGTTCAAAGTCTGCTTTGCCACTCATGGTCAAGTGATGGTTTGCAAATACTACAAACTCCTAGTGCTTCAGTTCTTCTCCTGCTCTTGCCACAGAGTTGAGTGACAGTGTGGGAAAAGAGCCTCTTTGAGCTAGGTGCCTAGATCCTCTTCCCATTGGTGAGGAGGATATTACCAACTTCCTTCTCCACATGCCAGGAATGGAGATTTGGAGGTGGGGGGGGGGGAGCTGCTACCTAGCTCATACTTCTTCATGAAGTGTGTTTAGCTTTACCAGAGATCATGGCTAGGAATTTCAGAATAAACTGAAAAAAGATGAAAGAGCCTCTCTGCATATGTTCTCTCATACAGTAGCTGGACAGTCTCAGAAAGTGGGGTGAAAAATTCAAAACTAAATAAAGACCATTTGTGTCTCTTTCGGTCTTTAAGGAAACTGCCTGTGTGGGACAAAGATCTGAGATGGAATTAGAACTGTAAACAGAAATCCCTCCATTGGATTTCACTTCTGAATACTAACATAAGAGTTTTGTCATTTAATAAAACAATATTCAACTTCACCCATCATCCAGTAAGAGAACATTCTTAAATAACTTCACTTTCTAGAGTCTTAAAAGAGACACTTTGCTCACATAGCATTCATGTGACAGAGGTTCTTTCTTCAAGCAAGATAAGGCAGATCATACCAAGCCTAGATCCATTTCAAAAATTGCAACTGTTTTACATTTTTTTCTTGCTGAAATAATATTTGAATGAGGACATGGCTACAGGAAGATTTGTGTGTGTGTGTGTGTGTGTGTGTGTGTGTGTGATGTGGTGTGTACGTGTACTACCAATGAACTCATGTGAACTCACATACCTAAGAACTATAAGATTAGGGAA